CTTAGGGGCGCTAATGTTTCCACCAGAACTCATATCTCTGATTCGAAGATAGGATTATATTGGATGATGATCTGATCTCTCTCGCAGATTATTTGTTATTTTGCTTCGTTTGAAGCTTGAGGATCGATCAAAATCTTATATAGACAGAGAAGCTAGGTAGTTGGTCCAACGTTGAAAGAAGGAAATTAATGGAAAGTGACAAAGTGATTATTAAGGTATTTACATGGAGACATTAATTTGTATACGAATTAATTCATTCCTGTGGTCGACAGATTAAAATCAGCGTTAGATTGGGGCACACGTTAACGAAACTCTTAGGCCACCTCGATCTGTGTGTGTGTCTCTCTCTCTCTCTATATATATATGTATGTATATGTAATATGTTGTACCATTATGTATTTTATGCAAATGGTTAATGTAAGTTTGATCAATGAGTTGCATAGAATTGAAACTCCGTTTCATAGGCAAGGACTTTGAAAACGCGATTTAGGAATTTTTCTGCATGTTTCCGCTTTGTCTTGATATGGTTACGACGTTGCTTTTTCCAATTTCCATTCTTGCCCACATTCGACGTCATGTCGCAAGGGTATTTTTGACCTTTCCGATGGGAGCTTGACCATGTCTTTGTTGTAGGTGTTTGTGCCTTTAATTTATCAGTGTCGTCTTGGGTCTCCGCCGTGTGCAATTTAAAAGCCGTGAACTTTTATATATATCCGTCAACTAACATGTCTCGCAATCTTTTCCCATTCTTTAATTAATTATATAAGTTACAATAAGTTAATCTCTAGAATTTCATCTCATTTCAACACTTTTTCTATGAATTTTATGCACTCTTAGATGTATTTGTTCATATTTTGACATTTATCCTTGTTATTTTTAAACTTATAAAATTTGTTACTTTTACAAGGTTATTTTGGTCTAAGAATTGAAGTTTCCAGCCACTTGGAAGTGCTTTTGAAGGAGTTAAAGATCAAGGTTTCTTAAGAATTATATTATGGTGATCAAAAAAGAATAAATAGAGGCCAAATTATAGGTAGAGCTCCTCATTTGAACTAAAAGAACAAAATTTTTCGAAAGCAAAATGAGTTGCAGCACACTCTGACGCTGCTGCAGCCCAATTGAAACAGAGGCAAACTCAACCATGGAGCAAAATTTTTAGGCCGCGTTGCAGCCGCTTACAGCAAAACGCATAGCTCAACTAAGCCAAAAAATTCTAGGTTTTAAAGCCCAAACTCGACATTGGCCGCCATTCTTTAATTTTGGGTGGTTCTTTAGAGTATTGTGCTATGTTAGGGCTTGCTTCTTAGAGGATATTGAGCTAGGAGTTATAGCTTTGAAAAGATTTGGGTTTCTTTTCTTGGTTTTCCTCTACATCTTGCTTTCTCTGTTCCTATTCCATTTTGTGCTGATGTATATATATTCTCATAGATTTTTTGAGTATGTGTGGTTAAATACTTTGATTTTGTGATTTTTGAACTCTTATATGGATTAAGTATTCATTCCCGCTTTATATTTGTGATTAATTGTATGTGTTGATTTTACTTTATACTTAAGGCTTCTTGTTTATTGTTGCCAATGGGATTGTTACATTCACTTGATTGATGCTTAAGAGGGTTAGGGTGAGTGTAGAGCATGAGTTTAATTGTGTTAGAACTTGAAATTTGCGAGTTAGATGGATGGTTTTGTTAATGAGATAGAGATATACTCATTAATCTTACATACTTACAAAAGTTTTACAACTAAAATTGGGGCTTAATTAATTAATTAAGATATTAAGGAATTAATCGAGATAAACACCTATTTAGAGACTTAAGAGAGCATTTATAGATAATTTAGTTTCTTTGACTGGCATAATCTATAATTAAGAAGCAAATATAATGGGGATTGAATTGAGTACTTTTGAAATATAAGGGGAATAAATAATCACAGGTCCCTTTAAATCTTTAAAATTGAAGAATCAGTTTTTCTTTTTATTAATTTTTAATTTTATAAATAGTTGGATATTTGTATTATTCAAATTAAGCAAAAGTGTTATAATCAATATTTGATCAGGTTTTGAAAACAAATTTTCATGAAAGCGATACTTTACATCATCACTTGATTACTTGTCATAACCGTGCACTTGGTGCGAACACAAGATATAGCTTATTAGATATTTTTTATATTATATGTATAGAGAGAGAGAGAGAGAGAGAGAGAGATTTTATATAAATTGTAACTACTATACTGGTCAATGGCGTATTGAAGAAGTTAATTTTAAACAGAGCAAAATAGTGTCATAGGATCCATATAACCAATCCATACTCACGCAGATAATTATATAAGGCTTTTAATATTGTTGTGGATATATACGGATGTAGTTATATATGTTTATATATGTGTATATATCCATATATGTTTACATATGTGTATATATCTAATTAATTATGTGTGTGTATTTTGTTACCAAATCATTTTTAAGTTGTGTGGAATTTATGAGAAAAAATAGGTATTTTTTAATTTTGTATTATATAAAATTTGAGAATTTAGGTACGCTAATTATTTTTAAATGATGGATGGTGCAACCTATATATTTGCATCAATGACTTGCTTTCCTCTCATTCCGTTGACCTTTGAATATTTTGAAACCTTTCTTTTCAGAAGGACTCAAAATTTCAATATCTTCACCGACCGACTTTGCGATGGAACTTTCACCTTAATTTGTGGCTGGGTTTTTTATTTTATTTTTTATGCTTTGGGTATCATAGACTATTAGGGAAATTATTATGTAACTACTATATATCTTTGGAATAAATTAAATACAACTTGGTCTAACATATTATTAATTTAATATTTATATGTAATATCCAGTTACGCGTTTTCCAAATCACAATGACCACAGAATTAGAATCATATAAAATTAGAGATCTTTTTCTTTAACAACCGAAATGTGACATTAGCCATGTCGTCCCAGTTATAAAAGGTACCTTAATTTGCGTCTGAATTAATTAATAAAATTTTTTTTAACTGTTAACCCATATACCTATTTCCTTAATTTCTTTTCAACTGTCATTTTGTAGAAAATAATTAATGATTATAAATTACTAATGAGTGGATAAATTTAAAAGTTGGTATGTGAAGCTTTTTTAAAATACCCTAGAACATTTTCTTTAAAAAAAAGATTGACATAGGTTAGCCGGAAATAGGAAGAGGCAATCAAGCAAATGAATTGGGAACCTCACAAAATAAAATATTAATGGTTTTTTAATTCTTGGGTGATTGAGTTTGAGTTAGTCAAACAAATTACAGGAGGTTTCGTCACAGCTTGCCGGAAATTCTCAAAGCATTGACCTGTCTCTTTTCTATTCTTTTATTTACTGCCAAAAATATCGTACATCTCATTTTCATATAATTTTCTTTTCAGAAGGATTTTTCAATTAAAAAAGCGATATTATCACAAACTATATGTTAGAATTTTCACATCAATTTATTTCTCTTTTATTTATTTTTTAATATTCAATAGTCTATATATAAAAAATAAACATATATACTATTATATGTTTTACGGTAGATGGATAAACAGGGAAATTCTCATGTAATGACGATAATCAGCTGATGAGTGTTATGCCGATCATATAATTTAATTAATTTAGGCGTTTTCTAAACGTCCGAAAAGGGTTAAAAACAATCTAAGATGAACTTTATATTGGAGAATATATTTGAAAAAATTGATGATTATTTAGTTAATTGTATAATAATATCGTTTGATAGTAAACAGTTCATTGTTTGTAAAAGAAAATTGTTTTTAATTGCTTATTACCAACTTGAATCTAAATATTATCTATAATTTCTATTTAAATATTTTTCAGGTTAAGCTGAATTTCTTTAATTATGCGGTCCCTACAATTAAAAACATTATAAATATATATAACATAATATTGTACAACATTTGACATAGGTCTATCTCACTTCACACTTCTGTTTTACAATTGTAAAGAAAAGATCATAATTAATTATTTGATTGTAAAGTATTATTATTGTTAAAAAAATCATTTTTTACCATATATTTTTAATAACATATTGACCTATATGTGTAATAGTATATATTTTAAACTAGGAAGACAAAATATTGAACGTCCCTTTCTGGTTTAATTTCTAGGTTGAAGACAAAGTTTTATTTATTCAACAAAGGTTTATAAACAAAACAACAAAGATCCAGGAGATTGGTTTACAGTATTGTAACGACATCTATCAAATCAATCGGACCAAATTAATTAAATTTAAATTAAACGAATATCAGTAAACTGACCAATATATGCATCTAATAAATCCTAGTATGGTAAACATATTCACATATATAATTAAGAACATCCGAAATGTATAACATGTATTGATTACCTAGAGGAATAAAATATAATTATTGATGCATCCAATATATTATAACGTGACGTTGTGGTTATTGAAAAATTATTTGTCTAAAAAATTAGGATTGTAAATTTAAGATTGATCATGCAACGCATTTATTTAGTTTCATTTCTGCGGACGGTGAGTCCTAGCTACCGTTTTCCTGCGTTTGAATTAGTCAAATAATAAATTTTTTTTAATTCGTATTCTAAACAAGTCGACTTCTACTATATGCTTTCTTCTTTTTCTAATTCAAATAAACATTATTCTAAACTAAAAATTTTTACTTATGTGGCGCATGAAATTTCATTGAGTTTACAGGTGAAATTTGCTTTAAAAAAAATTCGGCCGAAAATAATTATATATGTATATAGTAGTATATCAAATTTGTGAGTGCGTTATTGAGAAAGTAATTGGGAAGTTATTAATTGTTATATGATTTGGTAGCCATTTCATTTTAAAAAACGTCGTATATGATTTGGAAGGTCAACTAAGGTGGGCCCCCACTCCCTTTCGTGTATTAAATGGAACTACAAATTGATTAGTGAGTCATGTGAGACCGGAGGTAGTATATAGATATAATTTTTATATTGGTATTAAAAATATGCATAAGAAAATTTTTCACTCCATCAAAATGTAAAAATAATTATTTATGATTGGACAGATTTAAACATTATATTGCTATTGCTACAGTTTGGTGAGTGAGAATATTCGGGAAGATTGAATCCATGGTCTAATTATCATTATATTTATGGAAGCAAACAAATTAAAGGACAACAAATTAAATCAAATCTAGACGCAAAACATATAGTATTGCTTCATCTCTCTGCTATAATATATATATATATATATATATATATAAAATTGCCCCGTGTGTGTGTGTGTGTGTGTTCTTCTATAATACAAGCCCTCTCGCTTCAATGTCACTGGCACTTTTCCACAATCTGCATGAAAATGAAAAATCGAAATGAAATTAGGAATCAGCAGAGTAATTATGTTAAGGAGTTGGTCATAGTTTTTTGTATGGATGGATTTGGAGAAATTAAGATTAAAATATATTTTGAAAAAAATTGACGAGAGATAAAGAAAAGTAGTACGTGCCCCAGTTCTCAGGTACTATAAAATTCTTCAATGGAAATATATATATATATATATATATTTATATAGCCAGTATGCGAAAACTCTTGCCACGTACGTAAAAGATAAGGTAGGTAGGTATCATGGCATACTTATAGAAACTCATCATCAGAACTGATATGGAGGAGTAATTAACATTGAACCCATGTTTTACTAATGAAAAAGGGTAATACCTGCTGTCCTAATTATAAGGACTAGTTTGTAGTGCAACTTACATTATAAACTAGTTATCATAATTAGGACCAGTATTTTAAAACAAAAGAAAGAAAGAATAATGAACCTGATGGAGAAGTGCATGGATCATGGTCTCTTGGTAAAGACCTTGGCGGTGGTGGGGATTTGGGTGGGAGTTCTTAAAGGAGTCTGAGAGTGAGGAGGATGGGGCGTATTTGCTTTGGAAAAACTCTTCTGCGTGGTTGGCATTTTAGTGCCATTGGCAGTTTTGGAAGCCGCCGCCTGAGTCTGAGTTGGTGGTGGTGGCCTGAAAACCTTCTGGGGGTTTATGCTTTTAGAATTCATATCTAAGGATAATGTTTGGGAGCCTTAGGATGGGGATAAAGAAACAGGCTAGCTAGCTTGTTATGCAGAAAAACTGAGAGAATTAAGAGGTAGATGATAGATAGATAGATAGATGGAGAGGAATATTGGTGTTGTGAAGCTTGTTGGTGAAGCAGAGGTATTTATAGAGTTGCATTAACGTAGATTTCATGACAAGGGAAGGAAATGGGAAGAAATTTACATAGAAATTATGGGGAAAATTTTGAAGCAGCGTGCGTAGGATTGGGGCACAAGTAAGCGATCCATGACTTGGCTCTCCGCGGTTGCCTTATACCTGCTTGAGACGTTGGTTATTTATTTTCCCTTTCCAGCCTTAAAAATTCCCTACAAATAAAATTAGAGGGAGAGGAGACTCCAACTTCGGAGGCACGCGGCTTGAGGAAGCAGTTGGCTGAGGTGCCAGAGAATGAAAAGGCGAAATGTGGAATGTGGGATCATATTGAGTCGCTTTGGCCGTGTAGGACCCCTTCCAAACTTCCTTCGTCCCTTCACAGAACTTATATGTGCCTCGCTAATTATAAAATTCAATATATACACACACTACACTTTTCATCCTATTTACAAGTCAGTAGTTTTTTTTTAATCATGCTCACATAATTGTATTTTTAATATGTCTATTGTATTAATTATAACTATTTTGCCTTTTATATATTATTGTGTAAATTATTATTTTCTTAAAACGTGCATATATATGTATTAAATAGACGTAAAATTAAAAAGCTGTTAAATTTTAAAATAAGATTAATAAGATTTAATTTTTTATTTGAATAAAATATGTTAAAAATGATCTATAAATAAAAATAAGATCACAGACTCAAACTTCTCGGCCACGTGGCTTGACGGCGTTGGCTGAAGTGCCGGAGAATGAAAAGGCGAGATATGGAATGGTGGGAGTTGCGTTGGCCGTGTAGGACCCCTTTAAAACTTCCTACGTCCCTTCACGGAACCGTACCTCTGAGTCCGTCCCTAGTTATAAAATTCAATTTATCTAAATATATGTTATTCATAACTTATGAATAGCATGGTTTTTTTAGAGACTTTATATTTTACATTGATATGATGATTTTAACTATATACTCCTCTCATTCTAGATAAGATATTTTTTAGTCTTATTTATAAGGCACTAAGAGAATTTTTTGTATGAATATATAATTTTAACCCTTATTTATTAATGTGTTCACTTTGTTTACATGAGGTATAATGTATATTAAATAGAGATAAAGCAAAAAACTTATTAAATTTTAAATGAAAGTTAATAAAATTTAAGGTTTTTCTTGATCTATATGAAACATCTTGAAAATAATTTATAGATAGGAGTAGAGAAGTATATACTAAAAAGGTTTTTTTTTAACTTAAGCATATTTTAAAAATATTTATTCAAAATAATTGTATTAAAGAATTATGATTTCTTGAAATTTACATGGATAGACACACATATAAGTAGAGGGGATTATGAACTTGCGTGAAGGGGAAGCTAGCATGGGAAATTTACGGGGAAATGGTATAGAACTTAGATGTTAGTTTCTCTCAGCGTTATGTTGTGAATAAAGCAGAGGGAGTTTCATTTAATTAATTGAGTTTCCGCGGACAGAGAGGCAGAGATGGGTCATGTCGCGGTAAAGCACCTTCAATAAAGACCAAAGACTTTAAACCGTCTCTTAACGGCGTAACACGGAGCCGTGAACCTTCAATTTTGTCCTTCACTAAACAAGGTCAACTCAGGTCCCTTGGGCATTACATATATATTTAACCTTTTGGGTTTTTTTTCTGGGTTATTTGTATTGGCCGTGTAGGACCCCTTCAAAACTTCCCTTCTCCCTTCACGGAACAGTACCCGAGTCCCTCCCTAATTATAAAATTCAATATTTAAATATACATTATTGGTTTTTTAAGAGACTTTATATTTTACATTGATATTGATAATTTTAACTATATACTCCTCTCATCCTATTTATTTATAAGTCAGAGAAAAAAGATATTTTTTGGTTCTATTTATAAGGCACCGAGAGAATTTTTTATATGGATGTATAGTTTTACCTTTTATTTACTAGTGTGTTGATTTTATTTATATGAGGTACAATGTATATTAAATAGGTATAAGGTCGGAAAGTTATTGAATTTTAAATGAAAGTTAATAAAATTTAAGATTTTTCTTAATCCATGTGAAATATGTTGGAAGTGACTTATAAATAGGATCAGAAAATCATACTAAAGGTTTTTTTTTTTAACTTAAGCATATTTTCAAAATATTTATTTAAATTAATTGTATTAAAGAATTACGATTTCTTGAAATTTACATGGACATACACATATACGTAGAGGGGATTATGAACTTGCGTGAAGGGGAAGCTAGGATGGGAAATTTATGGGGAAATGGTATAGAACTTAGATGTTAGTTTCTCTCAGCGTTATGTTGTGAATAATCGAGTTTCCGCGGACAGAGAGAGAGAGATGGGTCATGTCGCGGTAAAGCACCTTAAATAAAGACCAAAGACTTTAAACCGTCTCTTAGCGGCGTCACACGGAGCCGTGAACCTTTAATTTTGTCCTTCACTAAACAAGGTCAACTTGGGTCCCTTGGGCATTACATATATATTTAACCTTTTGGGTTTTTTTTTCTGGGTTATTTGTATTGGCCGGAAAGGCAGAAAGGCAGAAACTTTTTTAGTACGTAGTTGAATCAAACATACTATCGTGGGATATTTCCTCACATTTTGTCGGAAATTCTTATACCATTGACTTCTCTATGTCTCTCTTATTGTCTGTCGGCAAATATGTGGACATCTCCTTTTCATAGAATTTTCTTTAATTTTCACGACTCAATATTTTTTTATATTGTCATATCATCACCAGCTAAGTGGTGGAATTTTCCCATTAATTTTCACATTCAATATATATCTTCCGGTGGAAGTAACCGGCGGATGGTGATTTACCTATAAATTCGCAGAGGTCCCTGTGATCTTTCTTCTTCTTCTTTGTGTTTTGTTTTTTCTTTTTTTTGTTTCCGTGTGTAAGACCACTTCTTGAAAAATTCAAACTAAATTTTATATATATTGAATCACAGGAATGAAAAAAAATAATGGCATATAATAACTTAAGAAAGCATTTTAAAAATTAATTTTAATATCTCTCAACTACCTTAAATTGTGGAAAAATAATAATATTTTACTCTTTTCCTCCACATATATTTTTCAAAAATAATATAACAGAATTAAGGTATAATCATTTTTCTTCTTTTAATAAAGAACTTTTTTTTTTGTCTCCCTAGTCTTTCTGTGGGGGCCCGAATATTAATGTTGGTCTTGAGTCCTCTTTACATTCTATGACCACTTCCACTTCAAACTTCATACACTGTAATTAAGATCTGTTCTCATAAAATGTTGTTATTAATCAATCTATCTGATGCTCAAAATGCTGGTCTTTTATGGTCGTTTATTATATAGCCTATTTCATTCATTTTGGTCTCTTTAATCTTATTAAAATATCTATGTACATAATTAAATATAATAAACGAAGCTTAGAAGTGTGAACAGCTTGATTCATGTCAGAATCAAAACTAATAATCTCTCTATATCTTTTTATAAGCAACAACTACCATTTTTTTGGTCCCTAAATATAAGAACTATTTGCAATTTGTCCTAAATTTTTGTAGTAAATTTTCTATTTTTCCCCTATTAATTATTTATTTTAATAATCAATATATTTATTATCTTATTTTCCAAATTATCATTTCTCCGTCACACATTCTCTCTTTCATAGTTATCTTTATTATAATCACTTTTTTATTCTCTTTCTTATACTTTCTTTCCCATGAATAAGAGTGTTTTGAAGAAAGAACTTCCAATTTTTATATATTTATTATTTTTAACCAATTTTAACTAATATTTTTTTCTACGTGATGGAATTCAAACGTTGCTTATAAAAGGGACATAGAGAGTGCAAAGGTTTGAATGTTGATTAATGTATTGGGATCCATCGTGTGGGTCCTAACTCCTAAGTCTTGTTCAACGCATAAGATCTTCACCGTACATGACGACTTCAAAAGTTTAAATTATTATCGTCATAAATTAAAGAAAAACAAATTAAACACGGACATCATCATCATCATCATCATTATAATAATAATAATAATAATAATAATAATAATAATGATGATTTCTGTAGAACCGCGTCATGTCGTCATTTATTTAAAAACGTTGGAGAAATTTAGGTGAAATCTTGATCGGTGCCAAAGGTCAACCTTTTTTTTTTTTTTTTAAATACAAACGTATAGCACCGTTTTGGTCAACAAAAAGAATTCATTAAAGCAAGGTCAACTAAAATCTGGAATTATAAAATATGATTACAAAGTCAAGTGAAAAATGACGCATTGGTACCATTTAAGAGACATAACAACGACACTTTGGGGCCTCGAAATCTTAAAGAATATTTTGTATTTGTTAAGGTACATGGAAAAATTTTCCTTTCTACACTTACCTTTGAAAATAGTGGATAACATCCAGCTAATTATATAATAGTAGTAAATACTATCTCTGGTTCTAATTATAAGAGCCAGTTGACTAATTTGAGAAGATTAAGAAAGTAAGTTGAGTTAGTTATTTGTCCTAAATAGGTGTTGCCTTTCCTAAAATATCCTTATTAATCAAGTGTATTGACTAGAACTATAATTGTTAGAAGGGTTATTTTAGAAAAAAAAAAGTATAAATATGAGAAACAAAGTGGATTGGGGTCTTATATTTAGGACCAAAATAAAAGTCAAACAGGATCTTATATTAAGAACCGGAAATAGTATAAATTTGCAGAGGAAGCTTAATTTTAATTTCATTAATAATGATCTACGAATTTCCCAGCATTTTTTAGGTTTAAGACTTATAATTATGTTAGGTGTGAGAATGATAATTATAAATTATAAAGGTGAATTATTTCTGGATGGTGTAACATATGATATATGGCGTAGATATTATCACGTAATTTTATATATCGATGCCTGACGATGAAAATAATTATCATTATGATTTAAAATAGTTGATAAGCAGTTGTGTTAATCTAACATTCGAAGGTTAAGGTCGTACGACTCGTTTACGATTTGATCTCTCGAATTTTGCCGAAATTTAAATTAAATTATTACGTGGCACATTTTTAAATTCTAACAACAGTGGTTCTGGGAGTATTACATTCCTACGTAATAAATGTCCAAAAAGTGAAGACATGCACCAAGATTATCTTATAAACTACCGAGACATCTGACTCTCTATTATTCCAGTGATTACATCATCCATTGCAAATGAAAGCTAATTTGAAAACGAATAATAATGCTGTGTACGTGTTTATGGAAAGAAACAAGCAAATCAAGCTTAGCTAGGCACAAAACAAAACCCAAAAAAAAAAATTGAATAATTTTTTACAGTATCCTTCTTCCTGCCTGCTAATTATGATCAAGCCATATCACTTCAATATATATATATATATATATATATGTAAGTACACGCGCGCGCGCGCGCGCACATATATATCAGTGGCACTTGGTGATCTGCATGAAAATGGAAACCAAAATGAGACAGAAGTCAGATATTGAAAAGATAAAAAGATAAAGAACGACACTGTTACGAGAGAAGCGGCTAATAAATTAGGATCTCTTCATAATTTGGAGTAAGCTTACGTTAGAAGAGGATGAGAATCTAAGAATTAGCTGTTATATATGTTGAAATTAATTAAGAGCCTAATATCATTCCAATTATTTCAGCCTTCAGGGCAAAACTGATGAAGATTTAATTTGGAGTCTCTGAATTGAATGCAAGAACTTAATTAATAACAAAATATCTTAAAATAACACATAACTCATCAGTTTTTCATAATGGAAAATGATTTATATGAGTCAAGAAAAGAATATATATATATATATATATATATATTAACCTGAGCACGACATGAATAGAGTCATCAACTCTTGGAATAGACACCCTGAGTAGTAGGGATTCGAGTGCCAGATCTTATAGAGCTGGAGCCCTGAGTCGTAGTAGGTGGCCTAGGGTTAGGGCAAAGGCTTTTTGAATATCTATGCTTGAAGAACTCATACTGCTCCTTCGATTCCTTCAAAAAGGATCTTCTTCTTCAATTCTTTGAGAGTATTGATTGAGCAGAAAGATTGCTTATATTGATAATCAGATGTAGGTAGGGGTTGCAGTGAAACTCCTATTTATATACATGATCCATGTTCGCTGATGATGAACAGTGCGAGAAAATTAAGGAAATGGGAATAATGAGGTAATGACCAAGTAGTATCGTTGAGGAAATTTACAAAGGAATACTTGTCTCTTACGTGTATGCATATTAGTTAGTTAGCGTCTGACATTTTGAACTTAATTACGTTGTCGTTGAACGTTGAAAACGCCATTCAGATTAAAATTCACCGTGTGTCCGACCACTTCAACTTCAAACCTCTCTCTACATATTAGTTACGTTAATGAATCATATATATGTGCAGCTTATAGTCTAATTTAATTAATATTAATATCTTTGTATTTTGGTCTGTTTCAAGCTAATTAATAATAATGCTTCTAACGTTAATGTGAAAACCTTTCGACTTTTCAGACTGGAATAACAGAGTATTACCCAATCCTTTTCGTCTGTTCTGGTTAAGTGCAAGGGGCACCCAATTTAACATTTTTGGATCAGTTTGACTACTCATCAATTTTTGTTCATCTTTTCCCCACGAATACGGAATAATTAAGTCTATGTTATTTAACGTGAAATTCAATCTCAACCTTTGACCACCGACTCTTATTTATTGGCAATTTATATCGAATTTTTCAATTCTTTTGTGGGATTGAATTATGCCGTGCCAGATGCTTCTTTGCATTTATAGATGAAATTTAAGCTGTTTTTCTTTAAAAAAAATCAAGTGGATTATATTAATTCCGTGATGAATGCATAGCGTATTATGATAATAACATCATTATAAAATTAGTTTTTTGTTTGAAAGTTGAGTAGATTTGAATTAGATTCGCGTAGTACATACTGAGAAGTAACCAGGTAAAGTTGTTACTATATTATTATATATGATTTGGTGATGAGAAGCAATTCATTGGAAATTGGCAAGGAAGATGTATACAGGTAAGATCAAAGTTTAATTCATAATCAAAATTTCGTTGATTAATTTACTTAAATTAAACCAAAAGTATTTATCGGTTTTAATTTAGTACTTCTGAATCACTTCAATATTATTATATTGTTCTGCCTTGCTTCATTAAAACTCCTCATAATTAAGATCAAAGTGCAATTCATAACTATTCATATAAATAAAAGCATTAGTGCTTAAATTAATTCCTGAAATAAAAAAATCCAACATGAGTTGGCTTGTGGTCTTTGAGTCTCTTTAAATTCGTAAGTATATATTTTGGTTTCCTTTTGTGTTGAATTATGTCATGCAAGATGCTTCGTTGCATATTTGAGGTGAAATTTATGCTGTTTTTGTCTTTAATTCAACTTCAACTTTGCTCAGACTTTGCACACATTTTATTGGAGAATAGTACTGTATTTTTATGAACTTAATTTATTTCTGGACGGAGGTAACATATAGCGTGTAGATATTATAAAGATGATAGAGATTAGCGTCGAGATTTTATATTGACGCCTCATGATGAAATTATTTATCATTATATATGATGCGGCATACTATAAATTATAATATTTTTATGTATATTTTTTTTGGTAAAGTATTTTTATGTATATTTTAATAAATAAGCACTCTTGTTTTAAAAATTTAGCACTTGAGGGTTAAGGTCATCTGGTTCGTTGACAATAATTGATCTCTTGAATATTACAGAAATTTAAATTAAATTACGTAAATTTTAAAATAACCATGGTTACTTCTATGAGAATTCCCACGTAAATGTCAAAAGTGAAGACATGCACGAAGATTATATTAAACTACTCAGACGCCTGACTTTTTATTATTCAAATGATTACGGTATATTCCACTGCTGTATTTATGGAGAGCAACAAGAATTAGCACAACAAATCAAGCCCTAGACTCAAAAACAAAAACAAAAAGGAAAAAAAGTTGAATAATAATCTTTATAGTATTCTTATTCTTGCTAGCTAATCATGGGAGAATGTACTATGTATCCCCTTATTCTTGATCAACCCATACACTTATATATATATATATATATATATATATCTGGCACCTGATGATCTGCACATGAAAATGAAAGCCAAAATGAGATTGAAGTCAGACATTAAAACAGAGAAGAAGAACAAAATAAACTATTACGAGGCAAGCAGCTGATTAATTAATTATGATCTCTTGGCACTTTGGAGTAAGGTTACTTCACAAGAAGGATGATAATCTAAAAGGCTGTTTATATATATAGGCACTTAAATTACTACAAAATTCTTTAAAAATATAGCAAACATTTGAAGGTTAATTCATTTATATTACAACCCAAACCTATATATATATATATATATATATCTCAATATTTTGTTTGAAAATTCATTTTCATATGTCATGTTCAAATTAAATTAAGAACCTAAACAAGCATAAAATTTAGCCTTCATGGCAAACTCACGAAAGATTTAATCTGGAGGTCTTGGATTTGAAACCAAGAACTTATTAAAAAGTATTAAAAATGACACATCACTCATTAGTTTTTCCCACTGAAGACGATGATTTATATGAATAAATAAAGGAGTAAATGTGTGTGTGTGTGTTTGAATCACCTGAAAATGAAATTGAAAAGAGTCAACAACGACCCCCACCGGAACGGACATCCTGACCATTAGGGATATTAGTGGGAGGTTTTACATTTTTGGAGCCCTGTGTCTGAGTGCCACCAGAAGGTGGGGGAGGGCTAATAGTTGTCTGCGTGTTTATGTTGGAAGAACTCATACTGCTCCTTCCTCCACAAATTAAAGGTTCTGATCTTCTTCTTCTTCTTCTTCAAGAGATTGCTAGCTAGGGTTTGCAATACTGAAACTCATGAATCAGATATGCGTGTGCGCGTGCGCATATATATACGTATGCAGTCAAGGCATCATATAATCCCTGTTGATTGATGAAAAGTGTGAGAAAGTTAAGGAAATGGAAATAATGAAGTAATTAACCAAGTGATTGTTGAGGAAATTTATATGCAAATACATGATCAATTACCGCCTAACACTCTGAACTTACGTTTCGGAATTGAACTTTGAAACTTCATGTGCGATTAAGGTTAATATTGCGGGTCGTCTTGGGATGAGCCTTCTCCGCCGCCGTGTCCGACCACTTCAACCACAAATCTCTACATGCATTACGAATTACGTTGGATTTTGAATCATATTTACATCATATTATAATTAATTAATCTCATGCTCGAAATGCTTATCTATATATGTATATATTTATATGTTGGGATCCGTTTCATGTTAATTAGCTTTTCGTTTAGTGCCTGTGGCAACCCATTTTATATTTTTCAGTTTCACTCATCAATTATATTATAATTTAATTTCTCCATTATTCTGCTTTATTCTCTCCCTTTGAACAGGTAATTAGTTTAGTTCGTTTAACATGTGAAATTCAACCTCATTCTTTCACTATTTATTGGCAATTTATACCAAATTATTTCTCCATTCTTTTGTGGGATCACATATATGCAGCGCAACATGCTTCATTTCATTCATAGGCGAAATTTCAGCTGTTTTTTTTTTAAAAAAAAATTCAATAGTTGAATAAATTTGAATTAGATTTGCTTGTATACTGATGAGATATATGTAATTTATTGGAAATTGGCAAGGAAGATGGCATGTTATTCATATACAGACAACTATATATACTCACAATATGTGTGTGTGTGTGTGTGTGTACAGATAAGATCAAAGTTCAATTCATAATGAAATTTCGTTGATTAATTTATAGCATTCGCATTTTGCCCACACTTTTGTTCGATTTTTTCAGCCCTCACGTATGGACCACACACATTGAATCATATGTAACAAACCTACGTCATTAATATTCACCCTAATTAAGTCTCTAATCAAACTGCTTATTATGTTTTGGTCTATTAATACAACGAATTGAATTGTATTCCCTTTCATCTCTCTCTAATCCTTTTAGGAATATTTTACCAAACTTCTCAACTTCTCTTCTCCATTCTGATGAAGTTGGCCCATCCATTCTTCATATATTCATTCATGTTTGTTTACATAATTGACTTCTTGCTTCCTTCTTCCTTTTTTATTTTTGGGTTCTATTTTATTTTCCTTCTCCAGTGCTTTCATGGTGTCCCATGAACCTGGAATTGAGCTGATTAGTTTTTTTCCGTTTAACGTGAAATTGAACTTCAATCTTCGACTCTTTTGTTTAGCTATTCAATTCTAATTCTTTATTACATTTTTTCCCCTTTCGTGCAGAATTATGCCGTGCAAGATGCTTCGTTGCATTTGAGGTGAAATTTATGCTGTTTTTCTTTTTAATTCAACTTGAACTTTGCTCAGACTTTGCTCACATTTTATTGGTGAATCGTTTACAATCTTTTTTTGCTAGGCATATATATATATATATATATATATATCATAGGAAGCAATCAAGTTCAAAGCATTGTGAAAAATTTAAACATTAATTCATCATATTGTGAAAAACTAGTTTCTTCCATTAGACCCAATATTTGTTAATCCTAGTAATTAGTAATTTAGTAACATCATAAAGAGGCAATAGTGCAGTAATAATCTGATTATAATAATAAATTCAGGCTATTATATTTATGTTGTCTATTCATGAACTCTCTTCTCAACCATTGGATCGGAGAATATTGAGAGGCCTCATTTCATGTGAAGTAGTCCAATATTGACTTCCCACGCATAACTAAATTTCTAGGAACGTCATAATTCTTCATTCTAAATTTTCATGTATGAAAAAGGACTTATGTTTTCACATACAAATGGAGCTTAATATGGCCAGCTTGATCGATGTCTGAATTAAAACTAATGCAAAGCTTGATCGTGTGGGTCCCAATTCTTGTTCAACATATAAAATCTTCACCGTGTGTGATGACTTCAAACTTCCCGGACCGTGGAATATATAATATTGAATCATTCAAGGAAGTGTAATTTACGGGTGTTTTTTTTTTTTTACCTTTATCTTTTCCTCTTATATATACAGTCAAGTTAATTAAACGTAAAATTTAATTAATATACTAGTTAGCTGGATCTAATCAACCTACACTTTTCTTAACTCCTCTTTTATTAGACGTTGGTTACATATAATTGAGATTATTTGCCTTCAGGTAATTTTTTCTTTAAATTTTTTGCTAGGACTTCTTTAAATTATCATCATAAATTAAAAAAACTAAATTAAATACGAACATAATACTGAAAAACGCATGACCTTAATTAACTTCTGTTGAAATTCGAGGTATCTCCATTTATTTTTTTTTAAAAAAAATTTAAGAATTTAGGTGTAATCTTGGTTGTTGCCAAAGGTCAACTGAATTTCATGCAAATGTATGGCGTACCGTACACTCCATTTTTCAATCAACAAAAAATAAATAAATAAATCAAGGCCAACTAAAATCTTGAATTATGAAATATGTTTGCAAAGGGAAAATGACACACAGGTCCAAGTTAAGATACATAATGGCACTTTGAAGCATTGGAGTTTTGAAATAAACGCATTTTGGATTTAATAAGGCACACGGAAAAATTTTCCCTTTCTCTCCGCCAGATTAGTGAAACAAGGAAAACCCAAGAAATTAAATCAGCTATATTAATAATGGATAAGATTATCTTTTGACAAAAAACGATAAGTGGTTTTAATTTTACCAGCCTGAATGTTATTTGGATTATTCAAAGTGTAAAAAATACTGGACGTTGATTTTTAGATGTAGGAAGGCGTGTTGATATATAAATTTGCAGAGGAAGTTATATTTTAATGTCATAAATGATTTATTAAAACACTTTGCTGTAAGCTGAAATTAATTATAAAACACTTTGTCGGTGAAATATATACAAAGCACAGTATATGTATACAGATAAGGCCAAAGTTTAATTAACTATCGTAATGAAATTCCGCTGATTAATTTAGGCATCGTTAGCTAATCATATTCATTAATTGGGCTCTCGGAGTTTTTGTTTCTGGTTTTAATTTTCTTTCCGGCCTTTTCTTCTTTCCAGAGATTCGTGTTAACACAAATTTTTTTTTTAAAAAAAAGGCCTTTTGCAATGGCATTGTGGGCTGTACTTTTGGGCCGAAATTGATATCTTTTGTTCCTCGGAAATCCATTTGCGTTCTCTTTGGGACTTTACCCCCCCCCCAACGTTTTGACCATCGGACTTTAATTCTTTCTTCTGTTTCAGGGCATTTTTGCCACTGTTGTGGGCTTACTATTCTCCGGTTTTCGGGCCTAAGCTATTTATACTTTCTGCAAAATCACTCTTGGGCTTATGTTGGGTTTGTCATATGGGCCATTTTGTTTCATATGCAAGAAATGATTTGGGCTAATTTTAATGTGTCTTTTCTCGTATCTTTTTCAAATTCTGTGTTCATATTTAGTGTTTGACAGTATATCGAACAGGTTGCCTCCAGTAAGAGAATACCTATGCCTACCCACAAAAAAAAAAGACATATACTTCCTTCAGCACTAACTAGCCCCATTAAGTATTAACTAACACCCTCCATGTTGGTTTATTTGCATAATCAAAGACATGTCCATTTGTAGCAGTAAGAAATGAACATAATAAACCTTAGTGAACAAAAGGCATCTAAGTAGTACTACAACAACTTCAACCATTACAGAATGATCAAAAAAGCAAACGTGCGAAGAGCTAAACTAAATCTGGAAAAGCAAAAGTGTCCACTGATAGGCTAATAGTCACCCCTTACTTGTTTCACTGCTGAAATCAGGAGGCCAAAGAGTAGTTCATAGTACCTCCGATTCTAAAATAATTCTCACTAAAAATTAGATCTCGTATTTGGGACCAAAGGTAATAGTCAGTCAAATTTTCTCTACTATTACCGCATTACAGCAATATGCTCAAAATTCTAAAGAAGGACAAATTTGTGGGGTCATTCAACCACCAAATCGAGAGTTTAGATATTGTTATAACATCTGTGGAATCCAAGATAAATATAAATAGTATATGCATATATCTTGGCATGATTGTAGATACCACGTACTATTAATGATATAAACAGTAGAAGTTTGAATATGTAAAACATATCATGCTTATACCCGCTTCCTAATACTCCTCTAGTCCTATTTATAAAACACTTCAAACATGTTTTACACAGACTAAGAAAAACCTTAAACTGTATTAACTCTTTATTAAAATATAGTAATTTTCTAACTTTATTCATATTTAATACATACTCATTTCAAAAAAATAACTCTCTATACTATAATAAATGAAGGACAATACAGTATATTCATAGTAAAAATTTAATAACATGACTTGTAAATAAGACTAAAAAAATCTTCTCTCTGCCCTATAAATAGGATTAGAGGACTAGTGTATATCACGATGGCATATCATGCTTATATCATGTTTACATGATTTAATTGAAAATTTAGTTTTCTATGTCAAAATTAGAACACATAAAAAGGTCCCCCTCTGACGTGTGCGCCTGTGGCCGAATCTTGCTTTTGATTCTCATGGGTCCACTCACTACCGGTGCTGAATCATTCAAACCCCATTTGATTTCACTTGCTTCTAGATTGCATGTCTATAGCCTTTTCTTCATTTATGTTTCTCCCACGGATCACAGAAACAAGAGAGCTATCACA